GACTTGACTATTGATACTCTGGTTTTGATATTAATTGATACTATGGTTGTTTTCAGATAAATGGTTTTATAAGTATTATATTTAAAAATGAAAATTTTTTGTCATGATTTTTGGGATGTTCCATTAACCTACGAAAATCTTTAAGAAAAAACTTTGGTTTTGATTTGCAAAAATGAAAAAACATGAAGGTTTGATCCACACAAATCATGATTTTTTGTTAAAGTGTTTTTTAAAGTTTTTTTTTTCTATGGTAAGTTTTTTCAAAGAATATTTGTAGTATAAAAGATATTTTATATTATTAAATCAATTTTTAGGTTGGAATTGATTCAACAAAAATAGGATGTTAAAAAAAATTAACAATATATTTATGAAAAATCACCATAAGGGTCAAAACTCAAAACAAATGACAGTCATAGTAAAATTTTAGGGTAGTATATATAATTTTATGGAGCACGCTTGAAAAAATTGAACTATATAGGATTTTTTTTTTTTTTTAAGTTTTCCTTACGTCAGAAAATTTAAAGATTAAAACGGGCAAAAGCTCATTTCACAGTAGAGCTTGCGAAATTACTAATTAGTTTTGAAAACAAAAAAAAGTTTTAATTTTATCTAACTTTTTAAAAAACTTAATTTTTTTTGCATAAATTTATATTTTTCTTTAAAATTATATAAAATAACTGAATGATAATTTGTAATAAGACATGCATAAAAAGATTACCTTTCAAGACATCAAAAAAAAAAAAAAAGTTGTGTGTTACAAAATATAATTTCCAATCAGTTTGATTTGTTCTATTTAATTAACATATAACCGATTAATCAAATTTTAAGTGGGTTGTCTCCATATTTGAGAAATAAAATATACTATTAAATTAAAATGAGTGAGACTGTGAGAATTGAGATCGCTCTTTATTCAAAAAGGAAACAAATCAAGGATCATAGATTAGATTCGTGTGCACCGTAAAGTGGTCGGGGGGAGCACACAGAATCAGAAACGCTGCTGTGGTGTCACCGACTACCGGCTATATCGGTGTTCCCCCGCCTTTTTACGTACGAAAAGGTACCATACTAGTAAACGGCACAGCCTGTCATCCGACCAAAAGTGACTGACACGCTGGACATGCGAGTAGACACCACACCAAACTCCCATACTCACACGTGTGAGACTTTACGGGACTTTTGATGACCCGAATAGCACTGTTCAAAATCACCGACTACCGACCCACGAAAATTCAAATTGATTTTAATTTTTAGAATATATAATTGAATAGTTGAGAATAAATAAAATCCGATATATATATATATATATATATATATATATATATATATATATATATATATATATATAATTTGAAATTAAGAGTTTATATCGAACGGGAAGGCAAACAGATAATAAACTACGTTGTTAATCATTTTTTAAAGAAAAAATTATTTTCTTTTAAAAACGACATCTACAAATTTAAGGTCATAACCGATGGCGGAATTTCCTAAGAAATTTACATTGCGCTGCAAAATTTGAGTGGGTTGTACAGGAACCCCCTAAGAAATTCACATCTGCCCCTGGTCATAACATTATTATGTATGACCTCTTAAACTCTATTAAGGAGCTACACAACCTCTGGTGCAAAGTAACCAAATATATCAAATGTGAATGTTATAAACACGTGTTTTCTAATTAGGTTGAGCGCTTCTATTATAAATTAATAAACAACGCTAATAAATCAATAAATAATTAGTTGTATATTAAAAATAAAAATAAATTAAATAATTGTTTTTTTGATTTTGCTTTTTGTTTTAATTTTAGTAGCCAAAATCAATATGAAATCCAAAATAGTTGAAATTGATAGAAAATATTCAAATATTTGATCAGTATAATCTAATCAAAGTTGTCTATTTTAGACAATTCGCTTATATCATTTTGTACAATCCTTTTTTTTAAACATCTTACATACATTCATTGTTTGCAAAATGCAGAAAGTTTATTTATAAATATTCAGAAAAACCTTTATATTTTGTTTATATATAAAAAAAACATTTACATTTTTAATTACCTTTAACATTAACCCAAAATATTCTTTTTTTTTAAATTACCGGCCGATTTATGACATAACATTTATCTTTTTTGTTTTTAGGTTACATGGAAACAAAAATAAACGATCTTGTCTTTTGTCTAAGTAAAAACGTGAAAATAGATCATTTAGTCAACGATCATTACTCGAGCAAAAGTAAATAACATCGCTTATATTTTTTCATGTCAACTTAAAAACGAACAAGATAAATGTTATGTCACAAAATAACATGTAACTTCTCTTAGAAAAACAGATATTTTGGTAAATCTGGAAGATAACTGAAAATATAAGGATTTCTCTGCATATAAATAAAATATAAAGGTTTATCTAAATACAGATAGATAAATGGTTATGTTTTTCTATATTTCTTCTATTATGTTACTTATAAATCTATACATTTCATGTAAAATAAGACTTAGTATATTATAATTTAAGATCATATATATTCAAATTCATATAAAGTAAATTATAACTTTCGTCTGCAAATATAGCCCGACTTTTCGAATTTTGGTAACAAATTATTTTCTATGGCAATTTTATAAGGTTATGTCCAATTTCAAATAAAATGATTACTTATGGTTCAGAAATAAGAAGTATAAAAGATTTTTTTTTTTTGTTAAAAAATATGGGACCTATAATATTACAAAAACCTTAAATAACAATTAAAATTTAAGATTAATCTTATAAAAGACTTTATATTTTGTGTTATTCTGGATTAAACCTCAATTTTATTTTATTTCTTGAAAAAAAAAACCCTTGAATTTTTATTTTTTTTATTTGGCCCTTTTAATCATTTTTTTAAAAAAAAAACTTGTAAAATATGAACGTAAAAAGTTGAGGGTTTTTTCAGAAAAAATAAAAAATACAAGGCTTTTTAAGAAAAAATAAAGTTTAGGTTTAATCCGAAAAATAAAATAAAATACAAAGTTTTTTTTATGAAATTAACCATTTTACAAGAGAAAGCCTTTTACGACCAAAATTGAAAAATTAAGGTATTCTTAAGGAATATATATATATATATATATATATATATATATATAATATATATATATATATATATATATAAAAGTGAATATATAAGGTTAGGTACCCATTCCTCAATACTACGTAGTTTTATCACTTGGTTTAATTTTTCTGAAAAAAAAAAAAACAATTTCCTTATACGTGTTTCCTTTTTCACTGATAATACCGAAACTTCATTCTCTTTGATTTTCTACGTCATGATCGGCATACTATCACAAAAAACGATTTCAAATAAATCGATTATCAGAATTCCTTGATCGGAGGCGTCCTTGATCGACTGGTTGTGAAAGGAAAACTAAATTGAGATACTATCACAAAAAACGATTTCAAATAAATCGATTATCAGAATTCCTTGATCGGATGCGTCCTTGATCGACTTCAAGGACTGGTTGTGAAAGAAAAACTAAATTGAGATACTATCACAAAAACGATTTCAAATAAATCGGATTCAAATAAATCAGAATTCACAGGCTTGATTCAAAGAAACTAACGAGAGTGTGGCTGCTTCATACATACAAAAATCGTGATTCCTTTAGAGCTCTTCCAAGTAATATTTTTATAACTTTTTATCACTCAATCATATATTCAATTTGTTTGTACGTCCAGTTTTAGGAGTTTTGCTTGTCACAAAACTAGTTGCTTCTTGTACCCAAGAAACATAGTTCCACAATGTTTGTCACTATTTTCATAGGGAAAACAATTGTTCTCAAATAGCAAAAACTACGTATTATGAACATGCTGGAAAAAATTGCACGCACCAGCTAGTTTTGGTTACAATTCTATCAACCATAGTTACAACAAGTGTAGGAATCCTGTTATGTTATAATGTGTTAATGTGTTAGAGCCCAAGAGATGTCATTATGAAGTACCGGCGAATTTTTATGTTTTATGATGAACTTATACATGTTAATTTGATAATTGTAGTTCTTTGTTCATTTTATATGCATTTATTGGGAAAGGAAAAAGTCATTTTTATAGAGTATTTTGATGCTTAACAATTTTCGAATGAAAATTGTTGATTATTTATAATTTTTGTGTTTAAAATTGAATGCTGGTTGTTCTTATGGGTTAAAACTGAAAAATCAATTCTATTATGGGTAAAAACTGAAAAGTAGGCTGCCATAATGGGTGAAGAACGAAAACATAATGCTATTATGGATTAAAAATGAAAATATGATACTATTGTGGGTGAAAAACAAAAATATGATGCTATTGTGGTTGAAAACGAAAATATGATGCTATTGTGAGTAAATAATGAAAATATGTTGCTATTGTGGGTGAAAAACAAAATTATGTTGCTATTGTGGGTTGAAAACGAAAGCATGTTGTCTTTTTGGGTTAAAAATGTAACTTTTCTGCAATTGTGGGTTAAAAATGTAACTTTTTTGCAATTGTGGGTTAAAAACGAAAACATGCTGTCTTTTTGGGTTAAAAATGTAACTTTTCTGTAATTGTGGGTAAAAAAGAAAGTATGGTGTCATTTTGGGTTAAAAATGTAACTTTTCTGCAACTGTGGGTTAAAAATGAAAGCATGTTGTCTTTTAGGTTAAAAATGTAACTTTTATGTAATTGTGGGTAAAAAAGAAAGTATGGTGTCATTTTGGGTTAAAAATGTAATTTTTTATGCAATTGTGGGTTAAAAATGAAAGTATGCTAATATTTTGTGAAAAATGGAACTATGATGCTATTTGGTGAAAATAAAATAAAGTATGATGGTTTTTCACATTGTTGACAATTTTGCCCTTGTCCTAAAAATGGCAAGAACAAACCTCAAGAACAAGCCTCGCGAACTTAATGATGGGGAAGTTTAATTCACATAAACAATACAACCAAAAGCGAAAAATCTCATTTGACAATTTTAATTAAAAATGATAAGTACATTTATATTTCGGATAAATATGAAAAGTGGGTTGTTACTTCAGCTCAATCAAAAAAAAAAATACTTATGTTTTATACATTTTCTATCAACGTGTACATTGTCTATTCATTGTACAACAGCACACACTTTTTCTAGAGTTCCTATAATTCTTCCAACACTTCATGTTTTCAGTCCATAGCAGAATGAAGGCAACACAAGTTGTTGATTTCCCATCACTGTACATCCATTCATCATTTTCTGGGATTGTTAGCAACTCATCAAAGGACATGCCTTGTTTTTCTGTCTCTTCAAGAATTCCATACAAATCCAAACCATGTTAAATATACCAATTTTCAAAAACTTTTCACATTATCAATGTACTTTTTACCTTTGTCTCTTCACGGACATCAGGATGAACATAAGCATATACCATCCGTCATGTAACACGTCCCCCGAGAATTTGGAATAGAGTTCATAGTAGAATAACGTAAGCCCAAATACAATGTTCTTGTATACGAAATACAGAATCTGCAGCAATACACGATCGATTTTTTGACTCAGATGAAACTGCTTCATATCATGCCTAAGCAAACTACAAGCAAATCTAACCCAAAAATTACAGTCAAGTATTTGGATACTCTAACTGGGTCAAGTTAATCCATCTCCGATTCGGGTCCACGGATGTGGAATTATGGGTCTGAACTAGTGCTTTCCTATCGCAAAGATTACCGAATTCATCCATCAAACAAATTGTTGTATGACCAGCAAATGAGCCAGTGACCCACTTCTCCAATGTTTCAAAGCCACCTCATCTTCCACGAATCTTTGAAACAGCTAAAAGATCACCAGAATGGACATCAACCAGATTGATAACGGTCATCCATGGCTTAGACATCTTCTCAAAAGCCTTGAAAACTGCATCCAGTGATTCCGGCATTTCATCGAGCACCTTATGTGCACTGTGCACATCGTATCCTCTTCCCCTGTAAGAAAGATGGAATTAGACATCCCCAATTATACATAATGATGATTTGGAGATACATTCTTAAACCAATCCATTATTTCAAACCAATTTAGAAATGATGTAAAGAGTAAAGACCCAGTTCACTGAATCAAGAAACTAATCAACTCAACTGATCAGACTATAAATTGAAGATGAATAGAAGAAATAATACATAAAGAATGGGAATTTGAAGATGGCAAAGTGTTTTATTAACCGAGAATATACCAAATTCCCCAAGTTTGTTGTCGATTTGCTGCGTTGTTGCGACGGAGTAGAGGCTGGGGGGCTGTCTGCCTCGTCTCGCCGGGCCTCAACATGCCTTGCATCGCAGGTGAGATAGTCGGCGAACAAGGGAAGGGCTTCAACTGTAAACAACGACGGGTGCCAAGATATGTGAATGTCAACGTTAGTGTTGGAAGAGACGAAGATGATGTGAAATCAGAAACATATTTTTGTGTTTGATGAAGTCTGTCGATTATGGAAATTGTTTTTTTTTTTTCAGAAAAATTAAACCAAGTGATAAAACTACGCAGTATTGAGGAATTGAGGAATGGTACCTAACCTTATATTATTCACTTTTCCATATATATATATATATATATATATATATATATATATATATATATATATATATATATATACTTGTTGTATTAAGAAAAAAAAAAGATAGATCCTAGGACCTACCTTGTGCATGACTGGCTACGCCGTGATATTACTCGATATATTATTATATCTTACATTTATATTTTATTCAAAGTTGATTTTCCTAAGGAGATTTGATTCAATTAAATATGAATAAAACTAAAATCTATATATTTTGATAACAATCTAATTCTTTTAGGGTCGGTCGCTACCAGAAAGTCTTTTGACTGAAGTTTACGTAGTGAACAAATCCCCACTTACCAACTAAAGAATGATGTACGACCGTGTCTACCAAATTATAGTAAATTAATTAGGAAAATGAATTATTGTACTTAGCCACATTTAGTTAGTCAAACTTTAAAGTTTAAACTACTCCATGTTTTTAAAATAGTAATAACGTATCTAAAGTTGACTCGATTATTTAAAAGTTCATACAAAGACATGAAAAAAACAATTCCCAACTCCTTTTGCATTGCTATAGTCTATACTTCAGAGGGTCAATTGTGACGCACATCGATTTGTTTCATTATTCTTATTTTTGAATTGTATTGAATATGTTTTAATTTTATTTGTAATATTGACATACAAACTTGTCTGATACCCATGTGGAAAATTGAAAACACAGTTGAAAATTGAATCCCACTGTCTGTATTTACATATAAATATAAATCTAGAAATACAAGAATCTTTGGCCTCAAAAAAAACCTACATATGATAACCCTCTTAATGATCTTCTAGCTCTCATTCTATACAACAAAAGCTAACCAAGTAACCATAAAGTAGTCGAGATTCCCCTTCATATACCACGGAAATAAATAAATAAAAAAGAAAAAAAATCCCAAAAGAAAAAAGGCGAATTTTTATCAACTTGAAATCAGTTTAGAGCATTGTGAACGCGTTCAAGAAGTCGAACAACTTTATTAACATTAATACTTGTTGAAAATGGAGGCTTTGTGAAAATATTATTATGAGTAGGGGATCGAGGTAATGCTGCTAGAACATCTTCTTGTTGGGTATTTGTAAGCTCTAAAAACTGTGACAGCATGTCACCATCCAGAATCTTTGCTACACCCGCCTGCCACCCAATTTTCATCATAAATTCTATGTATGTGTTTCAGCTCACAATCATTAATAAAATAACATATTTTGGAAAGTTTAAGGTTAATTGTTTTTTTTACCAGGCTTTGACGGCTGCGATACTCGTTATGATTGTTACCCAGGATAGGAGCCGTCAAAGCATGAACTGCGATTCTGGATTGTACTTCTTCTAGAAGCTCGTATTCCTCTCTTAAAAACATAAACAAAAAAGAAATTTGTTATTTAAAATTAGAATATTGATAATAATAATAATAAATTATAAATACCTTGATATAGGAACAAAGATAATTATGCTTCCTAACAAAGTGCTTGCGACAATACTACTATGTGATGATGAATCCATAATTGAACTTGCAATATTGCAATCCCCCCTCATTTCATCATCCGCCAAAAGTTTGTATGAAAATGAACCCTACAAAAAATAAAATGTAAATCCAAAAAAAAAAAATTTTTTTTTTTTTTAACAAGTTATATACCTTTCGGATGCTCATTGCGACCTCACCCATATAGAAGGAAGAACAAACCTTCAAGTTACATTCAGGACTTGCATTTTCTGCATATTACATTGGATATTAATACAAATATCAAAAAAAAATAACAAAATTAAAAATCAAGATTATTTATTTTAAAAAGGTTACCACTTGAATGATGGGAACATGATAAGACAGCAATGCTGCCCTTACGATCTGAAACAACAGCTGTATCAATATTCATAAGAAGACAATCAGCAACCAATCTCTGAACAGGATCACTGTACAATTGTTCCACCTTCTTGGCATCCTGTTACATATAAAATATAAACAAGTCTGTCTCATCACATTATTTATTAATAAAGAAAGTAAAATATTAAAGGAGTAAAGGACCTCATAATAAGCATAGAAAAGAATGCCATCACGGCAATCACCAACAGCAATAGTAGTAAAATGAGTGGTCAAAGTCATGATCATAAACCGTGTCTTTCCACCAGCCAATCTTTTCACCCTTAAACTGCTATCATTCTGAAAGCTGCATACATAAAACTAAACAACAACAAACAAACAAACAAATTACCATTTGTTGTAATTTACTCAAAAAGAAGAAGAAGAGGAAGAGACTTACAGAACTACCAGCAGAGGCTAAGAAATAGCAATCAAGATAAGGGCATAAAGCAAGAACAATGCCACGCATATTTGTTGCATAAGCTAATCTTAAATTCCATGCTTCGGTTTCTTCTAATTTGATTCCATCAGAACTATTATTATCAATATCATCAGGGCTGCTGCAAAGACTACTGCTTGAAAGTTCTCCTCCATACTCACAAAAAGGTGAACTTCTTTTTGAATAAAATGTCATTGATCCACTGTCTGAGTTTTGTTTGTGTTCAAGGCACAGGACTATCAATCTGCCTTTTGTACTGTAAACATTAAAAAAAAAAAAAAAAAAAAAAACAATTCAAAAATCACATAAATAACAAAACGGGTCCTTATGCTTTCTTATTTTTACTGTGTTTGGTCCAAACTTCAAACCTTTGTCAATTTTCGTTTGTATTTCAAGGTTTCATATCAATTCTAGTCCATGGAACCTTGAAATAAGAATGGAAGTTGATATGAAACCTTGAAATAAAGACAAAAATCAATATGAAACCTTGAAAGAAGTACCAAAAAATAATAAAGTTCCAGGGACCAAAACTGAAAAAAGTTTAAATTTTGGACTAAGCGAAGTAAAAAAAAAAAAAAAAAGCATAGGGACCATCTTTGTAATTTACTTAAGAGAAGAGTAAATGACAAGGATTGTCTTAGTGCTTTTCTGATTTGTACCACGTTTAGTCCAAATTTGTAATATTTATTTCAATTTCAGTCCTTATTTCAAGGTTTCATATTAATTTTGGACCATGGAACCTCGAAATAAAGACAAAAACCAATATGAACCATTGAAAATAAGGACCAAAACTGAAAAATACTCTGATTTTGGACTAAACTGAAAATAAACCACAAAGATCATTTTTGTAGTTTATTCAAGAGAAGAGTAAATTACAAAAACAGTCCCTGTGCTTTCTGATTTTTACCATAGTTGAGTCCAAAACTGAAACCTTGTTCATTTTGGTCCTATTTTTATAAATTTTGCCATATGCTTCATGGAACACTTTCAATAAGGACCAAAACTGAGAAAAGTTACACTTTGGGACTACATATGGTAAAAATCAGAAAGCACAGGGACTGTTTTCGTAATTTAGTCGAGAGTAGAGTATACTAACCTTTCGGCTTCACCAGTTGGCATTATGGCAGGGCCAGTGGAGAGACTAGTCCCCACCACCAACACCTGTTCACTTCCAGCTTTTAACAACTCCATACACTTCCCTGTTTCTCCAGGCTCAAGTTTAAAAGATGATGAAATCAAACCACTCAACGGGTCCACACAACAAATATCAGATGAACACGAATCATCACTCAAATCTGTCCTCAAAACCACCAACAATTTGCTTTCAGAATGATATAAAACCTTCCTTGGTGTCCCTCCAAGGTGAAACTTCTGCACATTCAGCCTCTTGCTATGCACCATTTCCAACTAAAACAAAAAAATGTTAAAACATAAAGATGCGAGGGTAATTTGGTAATTTGGTAATTTTGAAAAGTCTTACCAAATGGAGACTGTTATCTGAGACGAATAAGATCCCATTAGGGCATTCGCTTGAACATACAGGAGTTGCATGTGTGGAAGCTTGGAAGGAGATGGATGTGTATGAAAGACTGTGTCTTGCAGTTTGTAATAACCAAGGTCTATCACTGAGGGCGATGATGTCAGCATCAGGGAGATCATTCAATGGAACCAAGAAAGCAGGTGTGATTCCAATACGTCGGATTGAAATCAACTGAAGACAAACAGGGGTATATTCGTCTTTTGTCATCATTGAAGAACGTATAGGTGAGTTTGTAGAGACAGAAGGCCACTCAAACCTAAGCAGCATACCATTTCTAAGCCCTGAAAGTATATAAACTCGATCAACTTGTACAATGCGCACGTCTTGTGGTACAGAGCCACTTATAGTTGTCCCAATGCTGTTCACCAATGAAATTGATCCAATTGCAACAGCTTTTATACCTTCATCAGGTTTAAAAGATAGAACCTCTACAGAAGGCCTATGTGTGCCTATAACAAACGTATTCCCATTCCCATTTCCAATTCCAATTCCAATTTCAATTGGCTTTTGAGGAATGGAAATGCAAGACAATTCATATTCCAATCTGACATTTTGGATTTGATAGACTTCATATTGATGATGTGTCACATGTCTGACTCCAAGAACGAATAAATAACACGGATTTGAAGTTGCTACAATTACAAATTTACCCCCGATGGCTCCAAGGCTAATGTTCATGTTTTCAGGGGACCAAGATGTAAAATTTGGAGATGTGGAAGGGATGCCATCAGGGTGAGCAGTGGTTGTAGGTAAAGATAGGTGGACTGCATTACGGTGGATTTGAACTAAAACCCCATCATCAATAACACCACATGCTAATGTACAAACATCTGGTTGGAATCCAACTGAATCGGTTACATCTGTGAAACTAACGCCAACTGAAAGTACACGTGTCTCTTCTACAAAAGATAACACAAGGAAAGAGTGGAAAGAATCGGTTGATTTCATTTTAATTGTCCATGTACCTGTGATTCCTTGATAAACAGGGGCAGTTTTTAAAAGTTTTTCTAGACTGATTCCATTCCGGATTACCCTTAAAGATCCTTCAGGTGTGATTCCACAACAAGCAAACATTTGTTCATGTTTTT